TGATGCAAAATTACACGGACTTCGATATTCATGTTGGGCAGTCCTACTCTTTTTTGGTTACCATGGACCAGAATGCCAGTACAGATTACTACGTTGTCGCAAGTGCTAGGTTCGTAAACGAATCACTTTGGCAAAAAGTAACAGGTGTTGCCATCTTACAGTACTCCAATTCCAAAGGACCAGCAACTGGTCCACTCCCAGATCCTCCCAACGATTTTTACGACAAGGAGAGGTCAATGAACCAGGCAAGGAGTGTGAGGTTCGTTCTTATACCATTATCTTTCTTCATATATATTCTTGATATCCAGCGATAATGAACTGGTGATTTCTTATGATGGTTGTCAGGCAAAATGTATCTGCTAGTGGCGCCCGTCCTAATCCACAGGGATCTTTTCACTACGGTCAAATAAATGTGACTCAAACGTATTTGTTGAAGAGTGAACCATTGGTGACGATCAACAAAACAACTCGGGCAACCTTCAATGGCATCTCCTTTATTCCTCCTAAAACTCCAATCAGGCTTGCTGACCAGCATAAAGTTAAGGGAGCATACAAGCTTGATTTTCCTGATAGGCCATTGAACAGAACACCTCGGGCAGATATATCTATTATAGATGCAGCATATAAAGGATTTATTGAAGTGATATTTCAGAATAACGATTCTATCATCCACAGTGTTCATTTGGATGGCTATTCGTTCTTTGTGGTTGGGTGAGGTTTTCCCCTCCTTTTTCCACTTGCTTGCCTTCTACTCTATGCATCACTTGCTTTCAAATGTTGATTAATTGCATGTGTATCATTCTTGCAGTATGGGTTATGGTGATTGGTCAGAAGACTTAAGAGGTAGCTACAATAAATGGGATGCCATTACCCGATCCACTTCTCAGGTTTGTTTTTTTCTAAGTTGTCATGTAAGTATTTGTATGGAACACGCGTGTAGTGATGCTTGTTATTAAAGCAAAGCAAATTGGGTTTTTTATTCTCTACCTTTGATTTCTAGTTTTTATACGAGATTAGGTTAAAACATAATACAACTGCAACATTCTATTATCTGACCAACGATGAAGTTTGCATTTTCTCATATTTTCTGTGATGAAATGATAGTATTGCAGTAGTACCACTGGTGTCAATTGACATCATTGTTTGCTCTCAGATTCTGATTTGGCATTGATTTAGTAAATTTGTTTCGGTTTTCAGGTTTATCCTGGGGCTTGGACTGCGGTTCTTATTTCTCTGGACAACGTTGGAGTTTGGAATCTTAGAGCAGAAAATTTGGATCGATGGTACTTAGGTCAAGAAACATACTTGAGAATTGTCAATCCAGAGGAGAATGGGAAGACCGAGATGGCAGCTCCTTCGAACGTTCTATACTGCGGTGCATTGCAGAGTTTGCAGAAGTATGTCACTGAACACAGCAATTCTGTTCTTGTTCCCGTGTCCTTTAGAATAGCACCATCTAATCTAATCTTTCTTTTGTTTTGGTTTCCAGAGAACAGCACCACGGCAATGCCAATTCAATCTTCAAGGGACACTCAAAACTCTTCATCACTCTTCTTATGGCACTCCTAAATGTGGCTTTCCTTCACAGTTAAAAACACCTTTTGGTGATTGGTGAGCATTGTTTTCATTCCTTCTCATCAAAGTGGTCGCTTTTCGGGATCGATCGCCTGCGTGATGTCATTGTTTCGTTTCTGGATTGTCATTTTTATGTAAGCGCATATATACAGTCAGTTAGGTGTGAATGAGTCATTTTCTTAGAGAGATTGTTCTAAATGACATACTTTTCTGCCCTTTCCCCAACATAGCAATTGTAATTTGAATAGTTGTGTAATGCCAGCAAAAATTTGCAGTCATAGCCCTTGAGAATTCCTTCTGACCATCTTTGGCATAGCTGATATGTTGATAAAAATTCTGCCTCGTGTGTGAAATGATTGCAGCGTTCAAAACTTGTTTCAAAGGGACCATTCATTTTTCATTTTTGGTCTGTTTTCAACTTTATCCAAGTTTTGTGTATTGAAGGATTGATTTTATCCACTGACAGTGGAATGTCTACACAGAGTTTGATCATCTTCGGCCCACTAGAGTGTAATAATTGATTTATATATTATATAGTATGCCGGTTGTTGTTTCCTTTTTTAACTTATAACATTGTTTTTAATGCATTTTCCTCGCTCATTTTCTAAAGCAATTTCTTTCAACTTGATTATTAGTTTGAATTGTTCAAAAATGGTGATTTTTACACCGTTGGCTTGTTCGTCAAGTTGGAACAAATGTCGCAAAATTTCTATTCTGCTACTATAAGAGTGCGACTGCTACAAAGTTAAGTTCTTACGCTCTGCTCGACTTTTAAATTTCATTTTCGAGATCTCTGTTGGGAGAGGGAGACCAAGTTGTAAATGAAAGATTAGAGAGCATCAGAAAATAATATAATTACAGAGTTAATTATGATGCTCTTCATAAACATGTTTGTCCTCATTTGAGAGCCTTTACCATTTCTTGAAGCAACCTAGAACATGACTATGTACATTAAATATTATATGTAAATTGCATAATATATTCTTACCATAATTATAAACCCCAACAAAAAAAAAAAAAAAACTCAATACACTAAGTTCCAAATGACAGCCAATTTCACAAAGTAATAAGTAAACATGATTAAATTAGAGATTAAGTGAGAATAAAGAAGAAAGATTATTGAACACAAAATATTGTTGTTTGTTCTCTTTGAAGTGCTCACAAATGATGAAGGGAAATTGTTGTGTGTGTAAAAATGTCAAACCCTTGCGTTAAAAATGCCTAGGATTCCTTGTGCTCATCATGATATGACATAATTGTATGTGTTTCTATGTGTTTGTAAGAGAAAGACAATGGCTATAAAGTTTGTCCCCTCAATCATATATCCATTGGCTCAAAGGGTTATCCCAAGAAGCTGCCTTTCTCTTATGCCTTACAAGCCTTTCAAATTCTTCATTTTGCTTCGTCTTCTTCGTTGGTTTCACTGTCATGGCCAACCTCTCTCCTGCCCTTCTCTTCTTCGTTGGTTGTTTTTGTGAAGGGGTTGATGGTGGTATTATTATGAACACTTGTAAGCAATGTGAGATTATATGTTTTTTGTGCATCGGTGCTTCTTCTATGATTTAGTGGTTGGTGGTGTATATGATGCACATATCGAATGGCCTCACCATGCACACCATTGCTTCTTTAATAACATTAACACTGTTTATATCCACCCTACCAATATTGCTTACAACTTAAGGGAACCCCCAAGTTGTTCACTTCACTGCAAAACCTCCATCAATGCTTTATTATTCTTGCCTTCTTTGTGTATACCACAGGTACCCTTTTCTTCTTCCGCCTCCTCTTTTGGTCCAACCGACTATTGTTAACAGATATTGTCTTTGAACTTTTCTCTCAAGATTTTAAAACGTGTCTATTAGATAAAAGTTTCTACACCTTTATAAACAATGTTTCACGGTTCACTCCTTAGGAAATCCAATGTTTTCGTTGACACACTGTTCGGTGTCTGACTTTGATACCATTTGTAATAGCTCAACTCCACCACTAATCTTGAATTTTTCCTTAAAGAGTTTCGGCGTCTCCTAAGAAAAGTTTCTAGTACATTCTTATAAAGAATAATTCGTTACTCTCCCTGGGATCTCACATGATCTCTTTCTTTCTGTCCTTTAAGTTGGGTTGGAAAGATTTAGGGTTGAAGGCAATGTTTCATAACATCTTTGTCTTGTTTTTAGAACCTAACTCACTTACTAGTTTCATATATACTTACTGAATTCCACATTGGCTCTAACTTTCAAAATATATTATTCATTATTTCTATGTTCGTAATTTCAACATTTTCCCATTTTCTCTTTTGTTATGATTTGAAGTATTACGATGTTTAGTATCCCTCAACTAATCTTACAAGTGCATTATTTTGATGCTAAGTTTATTATAAATGATGTTGTTTTGTCACTTCTGGTTAGTATACTTAAGATATAATCATTCACATTTGTATAGCTCAGAGNTTTTTTTAGATTTTTTTTTTTTTTTTTTTTTTTTTTTTTTTGGTGACTTTTGAACATGTTTAATTGATCCAAAATCAAATTTTTTTTGTATGATAAAAAAAAAACCCATGGTATAATATCAAACATTAAATTCACTTAAAACGATTCTCGAACATGACCTTAATCATTTTCACTCTAACTAGATTGAAATTACATAAAAAAATATTATAAGTTTTATAAAATTATTGAATAAATTTTGATTGTGAAACAAGGAGATTATCTTTATCTTCCTGTTCCACTGTATCAGCTCAAACTCAATGCTAGTAAATATTGTCCGTTTTGGTTTGTTATATATCGACGTTAGTGTCACGATTTTAAAATGCGTCTACTAGGGAGGGGTTTCCACACCCTTATAAGGAATGCTTCGTTCTCTTCTCCAACTGATGTAGGATATTGCAATCCACCCCTTAAATATTGTAACGCTCAAAGCTCACCACTAGCAAATATTGTTCGTTTTAGCTTGTGAGTATCACCATCAGCCTCACGATTTTAAAATGCGTCTATTAGCGAGAGGTATTTACACTCTTATAAAAAATGTTTTGTTCCCCTACTCAACTCATATGAAACCTCATGCCGGATGTTAATGAATATCCAAACGAATCATCATTAATATCCAAAGGAATTATAAAATGAGACAAAAGTAGCATAGTGATGTTTTTTTTTTTTTTTTTTTTTTTCTTA